TCATAGATTTTCACGGGTACAGGTGCGTTTGGGTCTTTTCCCGTGTAAGATTAAGAGTATCTTGGGTTTTTTGTAAATTAGGATGTCCAGGAAGGGAAGTTGGTTGTTGGTTTCTGTTTCCATGGTGAATTGTATTTTGGGATGTAGGTTGTTAAGATGTGTAAGGAAGTTGTCCAGTTTTTCTTTCCTGTGTGGCCAAATTATGAAAGTATCATCTACATATCTGAGCCAGAGTTTGGGTTTGTGTTTGGATTTCTCTAGAGCGTTGGTTTCAAAGTGTTCCATGTATAGGTTTGTGATGATGGGTGAGAGGGGTGATCCCATGGGTGCTCCTTCTATCTGTTTGTATCTTGGTCCATTGTGGATGAAGTATGTGTTGGTTAGGCAGTGGTTGGTCAGATCTAGGATGTGTTTGGGGGGGTTGTATTTGTTTTGGATAGCTGTCATGGCTTCTTTGATGGGCTCTTGGGTGAAGAGGGATATGACATTGAAGCTCACGAGTAGGTCGCTGGGTTGTAGATTTTGTTTCTTTATTATTTCAATAAAGCAGATCTTTCTGTTCCACGTGTAGATCTTTGATCATTTCCAAGAGGTGGTATGAGTTTTGTAGATGTGAAGCTGCTGCTTCAGCATGGGGCTGTAGCTGCTTTGCTAGGTATTTGGCTAGGTTTTGTGTACTGACAGCCAACGGCTTCCACAAAAGCAAAATCACTGGCTTGATCCACAAAAACAGACTGAGACATAATGGAGACCTAGAAGACGAACAGACCTATGGAACAGCTGTCCTGCCCTATATAAGAGGTACTACAGACAAAATTAGTAAGATACTAGACAGGCATCACATCAAGACTGCCTTCAAAACAGACAGAAAAATAGCAGCCATCCTAAGAAAACCCAAAGATAAAATTGACCTGGAAAACCAAGACATATATGAAATTCCCTGTGCATCATGTCCTGCCACATACATTGGACAGACCAATAGAAGAATAAGTACCCCCCTAGATGAACACAAAAATGCAGTAAAAAAGCTGGAACACACTTCCTCACTAGTCCAACACATGAAAGCCACAGGTCATAGCATCAACTTCAATGGCACCAAAACCCTAGCCACTATAGAAAACCCCAGCTACAGAATTATCAGAGAAGCCATAGAGATTGAAAAAAGACCTGAAAGCTTGAATAGAAGAGATGACTCCACCAGACTGGAAGCCTGCACTCTCACACAAAAAAATCTCCACACCACAAGCCAGGCAAACACCTGGGCACAAACAGACTCCCCCTCCAGCTCAAAAACACCCCAACCAGGCACCCAGATGAAACCTAGCTTCCTAATAAATGATAGCCGTCCATTTACTCGGAGCCAAGCCACACTAAAAGCCTCCAATACAGGAAACAATGTTGCCAGCCAGTTAAGACAAAAAAAGCTACAAAACAGACAGAAGATATTAGAAACACCAATCAAGCAGAACACAGCAAACTCCAAAACCAATAAACACAGACCAAGACTCCCAACCAATCAGGATGAAGAAAAAAACATTCTGGCATAGCATAGGCTAGCACCAAATTTAAAACAGAAACGGCTGTGAAAGTCTGACTCACAGACGAACACGATACAGAAGCCTGATGATGGCAGATGAGATTCTGCCGAAACGTTGCTACAACTTTAAAAGCACAACTATAACGACGTGGGAAAATACCTGAACAAATCTGAATACCATATATGGTATATGGAATGATGTGGTTAATGGTAATATTTTTTCTATAATAAATGCTTTAAAAGGAATTATATTATTTCATGTGATTGAATAATTCTTCTTTCATATATCAGAAATAGATGCATTCATCTCTATCAGTTTGCCAGATAGGTAACAATGGAGAGTAAGACACACAGTAATTTCTTTTCTTTACTGAGCACTAAGCCTGAATAACTTTAATGTTCTTCATGTACAGCTATTAATCTTCCTTCATGAAAATGCATAATTAGGTCTTTCAAAGTGCTTCCTAGTGTCATTGTGCCAGCCCCAATATATGAGCCATTCTACATTTTATGTTAGTTGTTGATATATTAACTCTGCAAGTTATAATTCACTAGAGATAAGGAATGTCTATTTTTGTATTCCTCAGTTTTGATTTGCTATTACCTGCAGTTTCCTCACAAAAATCTTTCTTAATTTTAATGGTGTTTAGTTTATTTGCTGGTTTATTGATACTGATACTTATTTACATTTAAATCCATTTTATATATTAAAGGATCTTGTTTTTGTTTTGTTTATCTTTGTTACTCTTACCCTATAATTTAAATATCTATTTATCATTTAAAATATTTTACATTAAATCATAATTTCCTACAATTGAAGGAATGGTATTGGTTGAAATGTGTTTACAGTCACATTTGCTTTCCAAGTACTATTAAATGCATGTCTTCAGAATGATTGTTTGAATAATAATCATACTATTGTAATTTCTATAATGCTTATATACATTTTAAAATATATAAATTAAAACTAAGTACACATTTTATAAAAATAAAAAAATATTAAAATGCCTTCATTATTTCTATAACATTCCTGTTTCAGTTGAAGTTAGATGTAATTTTAAATTTTATGTTCCAATCCCAAATGATGGGAATAATTTCAGTGAGAAATTTTACTTGACACAATTTGGAAAAGCCATATTCTGCACATAGTTTATCTGTTTTGCATGCAAATTTTCATGTTTATTGTAAGTTTATTCTTTTTTCAGTTTGTCAAGGAACAAGCAATAAGCTAACTCAACTTGCAAGCGTGGATGACCACTATAACAACCTTAAAAGGATGTATGAGAACTGTGAAGTAGTGCTTGGCAACCTGGAAATCACTTATGTGGATTACAATTATAACCTTACCTTTCTAAAGGTTTGTAAAATGAATTAAGTTGTTCTAATCTGAATGGGAAATGGAGAGAATGTCTTTACCTACCTTTGAAAAGAGCAAGTCCTATTTTCCACTCCTAACATATCATTCTGTTACATTCCAATATTCTACATGCAGTTTGTCTGCACCCTCATTAAATCTTGAAGCTAACTATGGGAGCTCTAGGGAATACAACATGAGGAAGATATTACAATCAATCAGAAATATGCATTTCAAAGAAGCTCTTACTTTAATTGTATGGTTTCCTATCATTGGTTGTTTTTGTTCAGTCAGTAAACTGTGTGTGACACTTCGTAATCCTATGGTCCATAATATGCCAGGCCTCTCTGTCCTCCACTGTCTCCTGGAATTTGCCCAAATAAACATTCATTGCATCAAGGGCATTATCTAATCATCTCATCCTCTACAATCCCCTTCTCCTTTTCCCTTCAATCTTTCCCAACATTAGGATCTTTTCCAATGAGTCCTTCTCATTTGATGGCCAAAGTTTATTTGGTGGCCAAAACATTCGAGGTTCAGCCTCAATATCTGCCCTTCCAAAGAACAGTTGGATTTCATTTAGGATTGACTCATTGGTCAATATGAATTTGTAAGAAGTCACTTGGACTTCTTAGAAGACATTTAGAATGCAATAATGCAGGCAATTAAGAGCATATCTCAGTGTGTCGACATAATTCTGCTACTTTGCAAACTTCACTGGCTTTTCAGAAGCAATTCATGGAACTAGTCTTGAAACCAATAAAAAGTTGGTCATTTGCAGTGCATCTATTTCCAATTATCTCTGCCTTTTTGATAAATTGGCATTCTTACGGTCCCATAACTTAATGCCCTTTGGCGGCACCAAGGAGATATGGAATGGAATGCCATTCCCCCTTTCAATTTCATTGCTCCAGATGGACCCAACATGGCTTGCTCTTTTTTAGATGTTCAAGATGAGCTTTTCTTCCAGGAATTGGAACAGGATACACTTTGAGCTTATCTGGTTTAATACATTTTGGTTATTAAAATGTAGATCTCTCAAATTTATATCTTTAATTGCATTTTATTTTTGTAAGATTATTTGTTGTTTTAACTTTATTATATCTTGAGTCCCAGCTATATAAACAGAATAGATAAACATTATCTTATATTTCTGGAATTTATCCTTGTGAGCCTTAACATTTTGAATTTATAAATGCTATATGGAAGTTACTTAATTTGCATCTTATTTAAAAGAGGTGTTTCTCCTAAATATACTTAGCAAGTATAAGGTCAAGAAAAGACTTTGCTTTAGTCTCTGTCCCTATATTTTGCATAACTTTGTCTTCCATACCTTCCAGACTATACAAGAAGTGGCTGGCTATGTGGTTATAGCAATGAATGCAGTGAAAACTATCCCTTTGGAGAATCTCCAGATAATACGAGGAAACACACTTTATGAAAATGCTGCACTAGCAATTTTATTAAATCACAATGGTACAAGGGGACTTAAAGAGCTGCCATTAAGACGGTTGGCAGGTGAGAAATTTAGAAGGAAAAGAATAAAAATTTAACAAATGCTTATATTATAAATAATTTTTTTTTGAATTGTTAGTAAGCATAATACTGCAATAAATACTCTTGAAAGAATGGTTTTGATTCAGCATATAACATTTAAGAGTTGCCTTATGACAAAATGGACCACTAAATAAATAAATAAATATAAATAAATATAAAATAAATATAAAATAAAATAAATAAATAAATATGCATTACTTTTTTTATAAGAAATGGAAGGATCCACAAATCCTTAGTATCAGCACAATCAAATAAGGAACTTTTTCAGTAGCTGAATTTGTTTATTGTTATTATCATTAGAATATTTGTGAAAACCCTCAAAGTGATTTTCAGTAGTTTAAATAGCTTCTCAGCCTTGTGGCTAAGTGTAGTAATTTAAATAGTCAATTGAGAAGACAGTGAAGGGACACTAATCACTGGAGAAAGCCACAATAAGTAAATAAAAGAATAGAAACATGCCATATTAAAGCCTGATATATATTGTAAGGTGGTCATTCCACTGGATTGGTGACAATGAAATGGTATTGCCAAGAACTAGATTTATAAAGAAACTGTACTTTTAGAAGTAGCTGTTGTGATTGGAGAGGTTTGTCACAGATATTCACATTTTTTTAAAAAAAGTATAGTCAGACCAAAAATTTCAATCATGCTTGGTAGAAGCTTGAAAATCAGGATTGAATGGATATGAAACAGGCATAGTAAGTCAACTTCAGTCATTAACTTACTTGTAACTTCTGATCCAGGACTCTCTTAAGGCATGCATTCCATTATATAAATACATTCTGCAAGCTACCAGTCTGTGAATTATACAGCCAAGCTATTTATTAAATAGCACTTTGGTTTCTGGAAAATATTCTATACTCAGAAAGTCAGTAAGTTTAAACAACTGTAAAGAACATGTAGTTTAATTTGGGTAATCCTCAATTTACAACCACAATTGAGCCTAAAATTTCTGTTGTTAAGTGAAACATTTGTTAAGTGACTTTTGCCCCATTGTATGACCTTTCTTGCCACAGTTGTTAAGTGAATCACTGCAACTGATAAGTTAGTAACTTAGTTGCTAAGTGAACATGGCTTCCCACTGTTTTTGCTTGTTGGAAGGTTGCAAAAGGATCACATTACCTTTATGGCTAGTTTCCTTGGAATCTCCTCAAATACTCAGTTCAAGCATCGAGAGAGTCCAGTAAGGTGCCCCAATATGTTATTCTAGCATTGACAAAAACAAAATAAAACAAGGTGTGAGCAACATTGTGTAGTCATGGTGATAAGCAGTAAAAAGTATACATTTTTCAAGCGCAGGGCAACTGTGTGAGACTAGGCTTCCAAATATTTGTAAAAAGGAATAAGGGCTGTTCAATCACATCCTAATATTTATAAGACTCATTCTCTTTTCCCCTCAATACCAGCCTAATCTGGCCAATTTTTAATTAAAATAATATTAAAACTGGAAATTTCAGAAATTAGAAATTAAAATGGCCATTCTTTCATTTGTGGTGGTCATGTAATAAAATTATACTCTTTAGGTATAAAATTTGGAGAGAGATAAATACTAAACAAAATATTCAGTACTCTCTAGCACTAGAGTTATTGCATTTATTTATAGGCCTGAACCAGGGGTGGAATTCTACCAGTTCTGACCAGTTCTATAGAACCTCTTGTTAACTTTCTAAGCAGTTTGGAGAAGCAGTAGTTAGAAGAAATCTCCTTTTGTTTTTTCCACCCTTATTACATTCTTGGCAGCATGCCTAGAATTACTGTCTCTGAAGGAAGTTTTTTTTTTTTCCTGATACTTTCTAAAAGAGGAAGAGTTTTTAAGCTTTTTACACTGCTGTTGGGAGGAAATACTCCCCTGGAAATACTTCTTCTAGGCTAGCTAGAAAGATTGACATTCAAACGTGAGTTTACATATCCTTTCTGAGTTTTGGTCTAAAACTGGTTTTTGGGTGAAGTTTAATTCTGTGCTTGGTGACGTTTAATCCTGTGTTTATTGATGGGATAGTTTTCCCTATTCAGCTTTGTTTGTAAGGAAAAAGATTAATATCTGTTCCTGAAAAGAAACTGGTTTGAGAAATCTCTCTAGTTCCTGTGTCTATTTGTTCTGGTAATAGGTTTAATAAGCAACAGCTACTGTTGTGATTTAATTATTTGTATTGTGTTTGAATTTTTTCCTGTCTCATGGTTTCTTTTTCTATCTGGGAGGGGGTCTTTCTTCACTGCTTTAGTGGTATCTGGCACTGTGCTTTTGGGGTGTACTTCTAAGAGGCAGGATGCAAGCTTGGTACTGATTTTTTTACTGCCTTTCTGGGAGGCATGTGACCTTTCCTTAAATCTGGATAATTTCCTTAGGATATCTTGAGAGATGAGTGAGACCATCTGGTATCTTTAAGTGGTGCAAATGGATCTAAGGATTGCTTCTCATGGGTGTGCTCTTTCTGGAGAGCTTAAATGACCTCTCTGCTAAAGGGTTTCACTTTATGAGCAGAATTGGCTGCTGATAGTTATCATTGCATTTTAATTATTTTAATTCCTCAAGGTGCTCTGGCACCTGCCTGATTTGTAACTCTGGCTTGCAAGTCTTTTTAATCTAATGATTGGTATTTAGGGCAGCTTTTTGCAAGCAAAGAAGCTTTTTGTATTTTTGTACAGGTAATCCTTGACTTACAACAGTTCATTTAGTGACCATTCAAAGTTGCAATGGCACTGAAAAAAGTGACTTATGACCATTTCTCACACTTACAATCATTGCAGCATCCTCACTGTCATGAGAGACCAGGCAAGGAGAAGCTCCCCTTGACGTGAATGATGTTGAGTTGGCCACAGCCACCCAGTCACATGACCACCAAGCCACACCCACCAACTAAGCCACACCCACAGAACCAGTTGTTAAAAAATTTGAATCCCACCGCTGGCCTGAATTTTAAGTTTAAAAACAGGGAACTCATCTGTCCCAAAGGTGCATTTTCAAAAGGCAAATGGGCTTTGTTTTTCCTTAAGAAAACAAAGAAAAAACAAAGTCCACTTGCCTTTTGAAAAAACACCTTTGGGACAACCATGACCTGGATGACTGAGAATCTCTATAGACAGGAAACTCATCTATTTAATTTTTGTAGCTAAAATCATAATTAACCAACATTGTCTAACTGACATAATAACTGACATTTGAATTAACTGGTACATTGGGAAAAAAAATACATACAGATATGGTTAAAATAATGAAACATCAGAGAAAGGAACTATAATTCTATCACATTTGAATGATTTTATATTTTATCTCAAATAATAATACACAGAGGCATTTTATATATATGGTAAATTTTTATATGTATAGTAGCTATCTGTTTGCTTACTTTTAGTAATTTTTTGTATTTTCTATATTTTTATATGTGTCAGATATGTGTTATTTACTTCAATTCTGTTAACTCATGAATGATACTTCATCAAAATAAGTAGGAATGATTATAATTGTGTAATTTTTTAAATATAAAAATTAAACCAAGTGTATTAATTCTAATTTCTTTTGGCAGAAATTCTAAATGGAGGAGTAAAGTTCAGGAGTAACCCTTACCTCTGCAACATGGAAAATGTTCTGTGGGATGACATTTTTGATAAAAATAATGTTCGGAGTTTTGTACAGTTTGACACCAACGAAAAAACAAAGGGGTTAACAGAATCTCACATATCCTGTAAGTGTGCACAGGAGACATACAATTCATGAATTTTACTAAACTAATTCTAAAGAAACAGTGGAGGGTTTACTTCATGTAACTTTATAATAAGAATAGGTGTTTGACCAATAGAAAAATAAACTCTTTTTAAAGAGTTATTTATTTAGTGATTTATTTGCCTTCTGAAATTATATTTAGTATGTATCTTGCAAACTTTTTAGGATATGAAAGAACTAATTTACATCTTTATTGTACTGTAAAATAAAATGTATTTGAGTACAGAAATATATACATACGTATTGTTTGAGATTTACAGTAAAATTGTTTATTTTCTTTCATTATATTTGATAGCTAACCTTAATAGTAGGATATTAATCCTTTGTAATTTTCAGCAATAAAATTGTAAGTTAAACTTTAACTTACATGAAGCATAAAGTTGTTATTTAGATCAATTTAAGCTGTTGTCAACCTGTATCCCCGATGGTTTTATAAAGGGCAAGAAAATTGAGGAAGAATAAGCATTTAAAACATATTTTATGTTGTTTATTGGTATAAAGACATACATTTACATAGAAAAGTGACTTCCTGTGGTGCTGCTAGGGCACAGGTGAGATGTGCTTACACAGGTAAATTGGGTATGTGTGTGACTGATTCAGCTTCTCTAATTTATAATAAAATTTCTGCATAAGATTATGTATTTTGGAGAGGGAAACATTTTAGGGTTCGGCCATTTTTTCACACAGAACTCTGGGCTATCTAATGTACAAATAACTTAAGGATTAGCTTTTTTTAGGTAACAATTTTGCAGTACCTAAATAGTTCCATTACATCACAGTCTTCATTTAGTCTGTGGAAATGTGGAGACAACTCCAGTTATACCTTTGCAATCTTCCACAAAAAATTATGGTAGCAGACCAATGATGGGATTCAAATTTTTTTTACTACTACTTCTGTGGGTATGGCTTAGTGGGCGTGGCAGGGGAAGGATACTGTAAAATCTCCAATCAGAGGTGGTATTTGCCAGTTCTCCAAACTACTCAAAATTTCCGCTAACGGTTCTCCAGAACTGGTCAGAATCTGCTCAATACCACCTCTGTAGCAGACTCTTCTACTCTGTTGATTTTCTTTTTAAGAAAAATAGTTCTTAAATGTATTGAATACTGTCAATACAATTACAACATGAACTGTATATAAACAGAATTCCTGGATGAATTTCTGTCTAAGACAAGCCTTATTGTGAGAAGGATGTTGCATCAGGTGGTTCTTGAATAATATTTGGCAGCCCTTTAAGTTGTGGGTATTTGTTGTTATATGTTGTAAACAGCTAGTTTCTTAACAATAGAACAAAATTATAAATACTTCCTAAACAGTTTTTGGAATAGTTAATACAGAATTAGCATTAAATTTGGTAACCTTGCCTTTTTAAAATATTTCCCTCCCTCTCTCTCTCCCCCCTCTTCCCCCCCTCTCTGGGGGTGGGTGTGTTTGTGAGTGTGTATGCATGCACATATGTATGTTTGTACATATAATACTATTTGTGGCAACGTTTGGCAGCATTTGAGCAGGGATTCAAATTAATGAATAATTAATGAATATTTATTAATTATTATCATTACTATATTAAACACAGAATGGGAGAATTAAACATGCATATGATTTATTCATGCATTGTTTCTATTTCACCAATCTTTTTTTCAAATCAGAACTGTACGTTTTGACAAATTATCAAATTCTATTTTTTTTTTCTTCATTTTGTTGGGATAGAGATACAGGTCAAAAATTGACATGAACTTCATATCATGACCTAAAATGTTAGGTATTTTAAAACATACTGTATAGAGTCTATTATTTATTTTCTTCTCTGTACTAAATGTTTGCAAAACAATATTTTTCCCATGTATTACCATTTAAAAAAATAACAACTATTCCAATTCTTTGTGTTAAATATTGAAACCTTCACAATTCCTTTTTGTGCCATTAAAATTTTTACTATTGCTACTGGAATTTTTCACCTCTCATTGTTTGGGCTATGCTACTTCTTCTTAAATTATCTTTTGTGATTTAAGAAATGGCAAAGCATAGAAGACTAAGGCTTTTCATGATTCTCACAATAGACTTTTATACTATCATTTGTATGTGGTATTTGTACCACAGTTCTGGCTAAAACATCCTAGGGTGCTGATGCTAGCACTCTCTGGACAGCAACCTTGGCTTTGGTTTATTTCACAGCTGAATATTATGCCACATATGGCTTAAGAGCACCCACTTCCAAATGGTTGATGTTCACTAGACAATGTGTATCGTTTGTGGCATATTGCATCCCATTCTTGAATGCCTGGAGAGTACCCCACATTTCAACCCTGAGCTATATATATTTTCCTTAATTGACAATAGTGATTCTTCTACCAAACCACCTGGTTTTGACCTGCTTCGTTCTGTTTGGATGAAATTGAACAGGATTGGGTATGATACTGGAAGAAGTTGCTTTGCTCTGTATCAATAGGGATGGAAAGATTCTCTTATTGGATTGTGGTGTTGATATGCAAACTATTAAGCAAATTGTGCAAGATTGTCCATGAGACATATTCTCTGGTTCGCTAGAAGATCTGCATGAAGAAATGCTAGAGATAATCACCTGCATAACTGAATTGGACATCTAGTTATGAGGCCACTACCCTAACCCCATAGGAGTTTTATATGTAATTACGTTGACTGTGCATATACAGTATGTTTATTTCTCTTCTGTCATGTTCTCTTCATACACTAAATAATAAAAAATAAAACCACAGTTCTCATTTTTGCTCATTAGCAACTTTGCATATCTTCATTGTTTGCTGTTCTGTAGAAATAGTGAATCAGAAAGTTAAAGTTATTTTTATGGAATAATTCATGAAATACAATTGCTAGCTATCCAAAATTGTATTGAGATTACCACTCCCAGAATTCCCAGCAGCATAACACTAAAATGATTTGATTTCTTTATAAAGAAATGTAATTATATCTTAAATTTTGAAGGAAAAATCCTCCCAAAATGTATTTTTTTCCTTGACATAAGGTTTCATTTATTTTGCTGATACTGATTCCTACCCTTAGGAATTAATATTCAACTTTATTGCAGAGCATATATAAATAATATTAAATAAATAGTGTTGGTAAGTAAATGATTTTATTTAAAGGGCCCAGTTTTCAGCTATTAGTAAATCTGACATCACTGATTATTTGGATGCAAGTGATAAAACACATGAAAGCTAAGTATGAAAGATTTGGCAATTGGTAAAATAGTGGGTTTGGGATTCATAATGCCAAGAATGTGATTTCAAAACTGACAACAGTTATTGACTAAAATTGGAGCTTTCCATAAAAACATGCATGAATACATTTATAATATTCAGAGACATTCTGTATCCCCCCCCCCCCCCCCTCCTTAGGTTCTCCTTGTCACCCGAATTGCACAAGAGGGCATTGCTGGGATGCTGGTGAAGAGAATTGCCAAATATGTAAGAACATACATTTATTTTTTCCCCTTCTGTTGAAATAGGATAGGATGGGACGGGATGGGATAGGATAGGATAGGGACTTAATGTGTAAGTAAATTAAGTAGACTTTTTATATCTTCTGTCCTGTTCACTTATAATAATCAGCTGATTATGCCTCATTTTGCAAACTGAAAAATGGTTTAAGATTGGTTTAAGGTTCCTAGTCCTTAGAAAGAAACAGTTCTCAACTTATGACCTCAGTTGAGTCCAAAATGTATGTTGTTAAATTAGACAGTTAAGTGAATTTTGCCCCATTTTACAACTTATCGCAGTGTTAAGTGAATCACTGCAGTTGTTTAGTAAAACAGTTGTTAAATAAATCTGGCTTCCCCATTGACTTTGTTTGTCAAAAACATAGTTAGACGGAAGTCTCCTAATCTAACCTCCTGCTCAAACAGAAGATCCTACATTGCTTCACACAAATGGCTTTTCCTGTCTCTTCTTAAAACCCTCCAGTACTAGAGCACCCACAAATCCTGAAGACAAGCTGTTTCACTGGTTGATTATTGTCGCTGCCAGAAAATTTCTCCTTAGTACTAGGTTGCTTCTCCTTTCCAACCATTGCTTGCCTTCTATCCTTTGGAAAATAAGTTGATCCTCTCTTCTTTGTGGCAGCCCCTTGGATATTGGAACACTGCTATCATATCACCCTTAGTCCTTCTTTTCACTAAACTAGACATAGCTAATTCCTGCAACTGTTCTTCATAAATTTTAGCCTGCAGCCTCCGAAGCAACTTTGTTGCTCTTCTTTGCACTCTTTTTTTAAAACTTTTTTATATTGTAGTGACCAAAACTGGATGCAGCATTATAAATGTGGTTTTACCAAGGCCTTATTAACACTTAATGTGATCTTGATTCTATCTCTTATAATACAGCTAGAAATGTATTAGCAGTTTTGGTGGCTGCAACACACTGCTGGTTCATATTTAAGTGATTGTCTATTCAGACTCCCAAGATTCTTTTTGAAGTTACTGCTATTGAACAACGTTTAATTTAATCTGTATCTGTACATTAGTTTTTTGTTGCCCAAGTATAAAACCTGGCTTTTGTCTATATTGAATTTCACTTTATTTGATAGGGTCCAATTTTCTAATCTCTAATCTGGATCTTGAGTCTATCTTCTGTAGAGTTGGCTATTCCCTCCAGCTTGGTGTCCTCTACAATTTGATGAGTTCCCCTTCTATTTCATCATGTAAATAGTTTATGAAGAAATTGAAGAGTACTGGGCAAAAGGTGGCCAAAGTTTATGACCCTGAGACACTACAACCATCATAAATATGAGTTACTTGCCAAGCATTTTAAGTTTTGATCACATGACCATGGGGATTCTTAAATGATCATAAATTGAAAAATGCTCATAAATCATTTTTTTCAATGCCATTGTAGCATCAAATGATCACTAAATGAACTGTTGCAAGTTGAGGACTACCTATAACTAAACTGTGACTCAATCAAATAATATTTGTGTTTTCTGAAAGGAGTTCAAGGTATTACATTTTTTAAATTTGTAAAATATGATGTAGTTTAACTTGTGGTATTTTTAACTTTCAGTAACTAAGATTGACTGTGCAGCACAGTGCTCAGGTCGATGCAAGGGAAGATTGCCAAGTGACTGCTGTCATACTCAGTGCGCAGCAGGATGTACAGGTCCTAAAGAAAGTGACTGCTTGGTAAGGAAGCTATAGAAACTTACATAGCATTTTAGCAATATAAAAAAGGAAATAAAAATCAGATTAGATTTCTTTGTCAAATATTAACTACAATAAATAGAGAACAAAGCAATAAAAAGTAATATAACAAAAATAATGAAATAAAAATTAAACTTTGTGCTTTAATCTCATTCTTAAAGTATTCCAAGAAATTCAGTAAGGTTGTATTTAAACAGTGTAACTGACTACCATTTCTTTTAGTTATAATTATCCTAGCTATTATTAGTTAGTCCCATATTATATTTACATTTTTTTATTTGGCCTCCCCACATCTGTCCTGGAGGAGAAATATAGGAAAATCCCATATGAATCCCATTATTGCTTTTGTAAAATGAATGCTACAGAAACACACCCATGTTCTTCTATATTGCCAATTCTACAAGAATATTCATAATCAGTTGATTATTCCTCTTTTACTTAAATTTCTGGAACACTGATAGCTTTTATTTGCAATAAACTTATTTCTCTGAAAGTAGTATTACATATAAACTTTGCCTACAATAATTCTTGTTGTTAACAGGTAATGTTTTATTGATTACTTAATGTCTGTTTACACTAATGCTTGGATGGATGGAATATTGAATTCTCTGAATTTTAATCTTACCTAATTGTTTAAAATCCACTGCTGTCATTTCCCATCATTGTTAAAACAAAAGATGGCTCTTTTTGTATATTATTTGAATTATCTTTTTATAGGCATGTCGTAAGTTTTGGGATGATGCAACTTGCAAGGAGTCTTGTCCATCTTTACAAATATACAATCCCTATACTTATCAGTTGGAAGATAACCCAGAAGGAAAGTACAGTTTTGGAGCAACTTGTGTAAAAAACTGTCCACGTAAGTTAAATAAATATTATTATTTATGTTAAATACTATTTAACAAAGCTAGTTAAGTTTCTTTCTACCTTTGATATGGGATGCTTCATATTAACTCCAAATTTGTACCTCAAGAAGTTATTCTTATATGCTCATCTATCCATTGTAAAATGAAGAATCAGAAGTATAGGCATGCAGTGCTAAACTTGTGAAAAATAAATGAAATACTGGAATGCGTTTTGAAGGAATTTATTTATAAACATATACATCCATAAGAATTTACTCTTGAGATTCTTTCTATATGCTGTTTTTCAGTTAGAAAATGTGAGTATTGACAGAGATTTCAATGTAATGAAAAAGTAGATCCAATATCTCAGGGGCTGTCACAAAGAAGAAGGAGTCAAGCTATTCTCCAAAGCACCTGAGGGCAGGACAAGAAGAAATGGGTAGAAATTAATGAAGGAGAGAAGCAACTTAGAACTAAGGAGAAAATTCCTAACAGTTAGAACAATTAATCAGTGGAACAACTTGCCTTCAGAAGTTGTGAATGTTCCAACACTGGAAGTTTTTAAAAAGATGTTGGATAACCATTTGTCTGAAGTGGTGTAGGGTTTCCTGCCTAGACAGGAGGTTGGACTAGAAGACCTCCAAAATTACTTCCAACTCTGTTACTCTATTCTAGATTCTCAGTTACCTCTAGAATTAGAACACTTTTGAAAAATTGCAAAACTGATTTCAATATTACATCCATCTAGAATGTTCAGGTTCCAAATTTACCTTATTCAATCTATCTTAATTTATGAATAGGTGATTATCCTGAACTTTGTCTCAGTCAGACCAGATCATGAAATTGCTCATGATGTATTGTTACTAACACTAATTACTAATTAGTATTACTAATAAGAACATTTAGTGAATTTTGAGCCCTTGCATTTTTTGCTCTTAAACTGACTTCCTTTCAAGAAACCACATTTAATGTGTTTTCAAAAAAACCTGGTTCAGATTTCTGAAGTTTCATTCTAGAGCAGGGGTCAAACTCAATTTCATGAAATCCACATCAGGATTGTGACTGTGGAGGATTGGGGGGGGGTGTCTGGGGTGGGTGTGGACAGCTCAACATCACTCATGTCAGAGGGGTGCCTATGGTGGCCCAGGTGGGACTTGGGTGATCCATTGTGTCTTCAGCAAAGGAAGAAGAGACCAGAGTGAGTGCCAAAGTCTTCTCCACCACAGGAGTCTCACCGTCCCTCTCAGGCCACATGGAAGACCCCCGGATGGTGTTGCAGGCTGCTCGGAGCCCTGGGCAATGGAAGGCAAGTGCCCAGCCTGGCTCTTGAGCTCCCAGGGCACTGAGACCCCACAGCCCAATCCAACTTGCTTACCCAAGGGAGCACCCAGCTGCGCTAACCTTCTTCTCAAGGCTGCTGCTGTTGTGCTTGCTCTCCTTGGCCAGGTTGCTCATGGTGTATACGAGAGGGCAAAATGTGTATGCTTCCTTCTCCATGCAAGGAGACCCAGCTTTTGTAACCAAAGCATCCTTAGCGATAAAATGGGAGACCACCAGGAGTAGTCAGGAGGAGGGGACAAGGGGGTGGCAAAAGGACAGCAGGGCTGCTGGTGGCCAATGCTAAGGCAAGATTTCCCTCAGACCTTCCCTGTCTCTCATTATAATCTCTTTCTCTCCCATCTTCCTTTCTTTCCTTTTCCCTTTTTCTTTTTCCTTCCATCTTTATTTTCCTTCCTTCCCTTTTTTCCTTCTTTTTCCTTCCTTGCTCTCTTCCCCTCTTTCTTTCTTTTTTTTTGTCTCTCCTCTCCTCTTCTTGTTCCTTCTTCTCTCCTTCCTCCCCCTCCTTCCTCCCCTGCTTTTTTTTTTTTTGAAGTTGTCAGATAGGATCCAATCAGAACTGGCAACAGACAGGCAGTGATGGGCATAGGCTTCCCATTTTGACCCCTCCTCCCTGTTGTTGCCCCTGTGCGGGTGCGCATGTGCATGCGTGTGAGACATGTGTCTCACCCTTTGCAGCCCTGAATCCTCAATGGCAGGCTACAAATTAAAGAATGCTGGTTTTTTTATTTGGTTTTTTTTTTTTTTTTGAAATGCTGGTTTTTCTTTCTCGCCTGTTAGAATAGATCAGGCATCCAGCCCTTGCTTATCAATGGAGACCGAGTGGAACAAATGGCCAGTGTTAAGTTTCTGGGTGTTATTATAAAAAAGAATCTGACCTGGGGTGCTCACATTGCTGCACTGGTCAAAAGGGCCCAGCAGAGATTATACGATCTGAGACTTCTCAGGAAACATCAACTGAACTGCTGGTGACCACTGCACTATAGAGAGTATTTTAACTTACTGCACTTGTGTATGGTTTACCAATTGCACAATGGCAGATAGGACAGTGCTCCAGAGGATTAACATCATTGCCCAGAGGATCATTGATTGCCTTGTCCCCTCTTTGGAAAAGCTTTATAGCTTCTGCTGCCTATAATAAAAATAATAAAAAAATAATAAAAAAACAAAGACAAATAGGCTAAAAAACAGCTTCTATCCCAGAGTAGTAATTATATTGAATTCTACTGTGTAGTGCAATATTAATGCAATATCAGGGATTTTCAATTCAAATGTATCGAATGAGAAGAGTGTGTATTTGTTTTTTATTTTTATACTTATAATGTACACTGAAGATGGCATTTTGTTGTACAAGGTGCCATGGCAATAAAGCAAACTAAACTATTATCATTCAATGGTGTGCTCACATTCCTGTGGACTGCACATTCCCCAACCTCCACCAATCGCATTGTGCCCTGTCCCCCCCAGCTCCTGCCCCCAGCCCCAGAGAAGGCTACAAGAAGCTGCCATCTCAGCTTCTCTTATCTCTCCAGTTCTTTCTCTCCCCAATGTCACAGGATAGGCATAGAGGCAACAACAGGGGCAAGGAGTCAAAATGGAAAACCTCTGCCCGGAGCCCCTCCAGCTTAAAAAAAACCCTACAGAGCAGTAGCTTCCCTTTTTGTCCACCCTTCCCTCTGTTGCCTCCTGGACTGACTCTGTGGCTGATGCTGAAAGGGAAATTCTACTCCCCTTCTCTAGCAATGCCAAAAACCGCATGTCATTGCCATTCAGCTGCTGCATTCCTCCTACAGCCCCTGCAATGACCTATCACCCATTGCATGCTGGCAGATAGAAGCACTATGGTCCCAAAGGTCGCATTCCATTTCATTCCCATCTCCTTCTTTCCACCATGTTCAGGAAGGGATGAGGGGAGGACGAGAGATTGGCAGCGCTGCCAGTAGCTGTGCTGCCACCAGTTTTGGCTTTCCCACATAGGGGCGGAGTGGTCTAGGTGAAAGCGGGCTGTGAGGCTAAGCCAGCAAGCAGGGCATGGAGGCACTGGTGTGGGTGCAATGCTGATCTACAACTTGGTGCAGCCATCTAGGCCAGAATATGGTTAGCCTTAGATCCAACCAGCATGGCCACCCTGGAGCAAGTGAGACACTCCTCCATCACCTGGGCCCCACCCCTGAACAAATGCATAGGAGGTGGCGAGCATGTGGAGGCTGGCGTCCTCAGTGAAAGGGAAGCACTTAGAATGCAGTCAGCCTACAAGGGGTGCCAGCCCCGTATGCACTGGCCAGCTTCTCTACGTGCCCCCAGGAGGAAGAATGGGGGTGGCACCTCGCTGGCTTTAAGGTGGCCCCCCAAACATATGGCTGACCACATTGTGGCCATATGGCTGCCATCAAGTTATAGATCAGCACCTGGCCAACCTGGGCCAGTGCTGAGGCACCAGTGGCTGGTCCTTCACTGTCTCCATGGACTCCATGGGCCAGTTCTAGCTACACTGATTTTGATATCCCTGTTCTAGAGAAAAGAGGGTTTTGTTTTTTTTCCACAAATGACCTGGTGTGAAGACTCTAATGAACTTTTAATGTACACATTCAATTCACTGAAATGTTTCAAATGTCTGCTATGGAGAAGCTACTCCTATGAAATATACTCATAGCAATGTTCTTTTGTACATTGGTCCATTCTGAAATTTAAATTTGATCTGCCACTTTTTTCAATATGCTTAAATTGCATACCATTTATAATAATTAGTATAGTTGATTTGGAGAGTATGTTTGTATATTTTTTTGGTAGGATATGTGTTTTGGTCAGAAATGAAAACTATATCAATCAAGGAAATACCACAAATTCTGTAACAAGTCTCCTTTTTTTCTCTTATGTCTGTCTGTTGTTTTCCTTCTGTCTTCTTAATTTTTTCTAGATAACTATGTAGTAACAGATCATGGCTCATGCGTCCGATCATGTAGTGCAGACTCTACAGAAGTGGAGCAGAATGGCATTCGAAAGTGTAAAAAATGTGATGGTCCTTGTAGCAAAGGTATGATGGATAGAGAATGAAATTATGCATCAACTCAAAGGATTATCACTAACAATAGGCACTCTACATATTAATATGATGCCAGATAAAGAAGCTTTAATCGTTTCACTAGATTTATAATGTTAACTGCAGCTGTTTTTTATTTTATTTTATTGATCTAACATTTTTATTGAATTATAAGATAAAATAAGATACAAAATATGAAAGTAATTAGGAAAATGGGGAGGAAGAGGGGAAAACAGAGTGAGGAAGGATCAACTTTTTGTTTTTTCATAATAATACAAACTAGTCATTTCTATAAGGATCTATCAGTAAAATCCAAAATTAAAATTTCATTCTTTTCCACTTCAAGCACAAAGATTAGAAGCAATCTCCATGTGGAAACAAAAGTACTTATATTAGTTTCTTTAATCAAAATAGCTATTGATTATACTACATATTAACATGCAAATTGATGTTAAGTCCATATCATGGAATCATTGATTTGGATGATCTATTTGGCAGCTAAACCCATCTCTCTGGCCAGTAGAATATCAGTTTATTATGTTTTCTTTTTGTAAGGCCATCCAACTCAAGCTTAATTTGGACAGAATACAATAAAAATAAATTTTAAAAAATCTGATAAAAGAAACAGCCATTTTAAAGTAATACAGTATATAAGATTCATTATTCAAGGTTATGGAACAGCCAGGTTTTCAAGCACTTTTAAACACGATGGATGCAGGGGTGGGATTCCACTGGTATAACAACCGGTTCGGTGATTGCATGCTCTACATTTAGAAAAGCTCTAATACTTACCTTCTACAGCAATCCCTGTGAATAAAGCAGCTGAGGCATGGTAAACCACTCTGCCATGTGAATCAGCTGTGCACTAAACAAAGGAAATAAAGCACAGGAAAGAGCAGAGGATGGTGGGCAGGCCCACATCAGTGGTGGTATTCAACCAGTTCGCACCGGATCAGGCAAACTGATAGCAAGAATTTGGCGTGGGTCGCCAAACTGGTACTAAGTTCTGGCTGGCCACACCCCCGATCCAGTCACCCTCCCGCCCAATGCTCGCTTACCCACTGCCTGACATTCGCCTAAGGTATTTGTTTTTTTTCCCTCCTGACAATCAGCTGTGCATAGATCAGCTGTGCTGGGATTCCCCTTGCAGACCCAGGAAGGCAAAAAATTGAGGGAGGAGCTCAGCCCCCCCTCCATTTTTTGCCTTCCAGAGCCCCAGAGGAGACTTAGGGGAGCAAAAACGCCCCCCAGAGGCTCCTTTGAGGCTAGAAAGCTCCCAAAACGGAGCTTGGAGGAGTGCTGCACGCCCCTACCTTGCTCTGTTTTTTTCCTTTCTGAACCTCAGCAGAGCTTTAGGGGAGCAAAAACACCCCCCCCCAGAGGTTCCTCTGAGGCTAAGAAGCTCCCCAAAATGGGTGGGGGCGGCAAAAAAGCAAAAATAGCCATACCCACCCAATCACATGGCCATGCCCACCAAGCCACGCCCACAGAACTAGTAGTAAAAAACAGAGAATCTAACGTCAGGGATTCCTGAGGGATGACTATTAACTGCCCATTTGAAGATAGGAAAGGAGAGCCTTCCCACAACTGATTTCACAATCAAATTGTTCCTAAGGTAGTCCTTGTTGAACAATTAGTCATTAAGTGACTATTCAAACTTATGATAGTGCTTAATGAAGAGTAGTTGTGTCTGTCACAATATCTCCGGGGTCACATGATTGCAACTCAGATGCTTGGCAATAATAACATTGCAGTGTCCTACAAGTGGCTACCATTTGTGACCTTCATTGCTGGCTTCCAACAAATTCAGGAAAGATACAGGTGGAAATGATGATCACATGACTAAGGGATGTGATCATGTGGAATTTGCTTAACAACAGCAGCTGGGACTGCTGGAATTGCTGTTCTCAATCATGATGTCATGTTATTGCACTGAGTTGCAATAGTAATTCCAGCAGTCTCCACTGCTGTCATTAGCCAAATCCCACATGGTCACATCCCTCAATCATGCCTTATGTTGCCAGCCAATCAAGACAAAAAAAACCTGCTACAAAACAGACAGAAGATATTAGAAACACCTATCAAGCAGAACACAGCAAACTCCAAGACCAATAAACACAGACCAAGACTCCCAACCAATCGGATGAAGAAAAAAACCATTCTAACACAGCAGTAGGCTAGCACCAAATTTAAAACAGAAACGTTTGTGAAAGTCTGACTCACAGACAAACACAATACACAAGCCTGATGATGGCAGATGAGATTCTGCCGAAACGTCACTACAACTTTAAAAGAACAACTATAATGACGTGGGAAAATACCCGAACTGAGCTGAATACCATACATACATACATACATACATACATACATACATACATACACACACACACACACACACACACACACACACACTTACATTTTATGGGGATTTATTAGTTGTAAAGATTTGATTGATGAATTAAAACATAATAAGGAAGATATCCTGTGATAAAATTATTTTCTTACTAATGCTGTTTATTCCTGTTTTTTCTTGGTTTAAATCCAATTAATTGTGTGTCTTGATGCTGCTTTGTACTTAGGCGTGATTCTAATCCTTAATCCAACATGAAATACCTTGAAAGTATTTCTAATATTGTATGTTTCCTTTTTCTCAGTGTGCAGTGGAATTGGAATAGGTGAACTGAAAGGTGTTCTTGCAGTAAATGAATCCAATATAGATTATTTCAAGAACTGTACCACAATCAATGGTGATCTCACATTTCTGCATGCATCCTTTTTTGGGTAAGTTGCTGATTGGTCAAATGTGGAACATAAAATGTACTAAAAATCTGTTACATCATTAATCAAGTATTCAATTATTCTTTTATAGTGATGAATATACAAAAACACCCCCTTTGGGTATAAGAAAATTGGATATTTTTAAAACTGTTAAAGAAATCACAGGTTAGTAAGATGTTTTACATTTATTTATATGAATATTGTAGATGGTCCTTTACATGCTCAGTTATTTCTATTCATTTATTTAAGGCTGCCCAACTACTGCACATCTTAAGTAGTTTAAAATGTAATTTAAAAAAATTAAAAGGACACAGCATGACCATGAAAACAGAACAAAAGTTCCGGTGGCAGGACAGGGACGTCCAGAGGTGGAGAAGCCCAGCTCTGGCTTTCGAACACCTCTTCTCGTGTTTGGAGGGATCCCCAGTGGATACACAAAACCCGTAGAGCTTTGTGTCTGAATAGAGGACCCCCAGGTTGCTGTTTGGGGGAAGGCAACTCCCCAGCAACGAAGGAAGAGCCTCTGAGACCAGCGCAATTGAGCCAGCTGCCAGCTAATGGCGGCTCCAAAGTCCGGTCTGTCACTGAACTGACGAAGCAAAAAGTGACAGCCTGAAGGATCTGAGCAGAAAAGGGCAGAAGGACTACAAAAGCCATGAGAGAGATCGGTCTGACTCTCCCTGTTTCATTGTGAGTAACAGTGGGGGAAGCTGGAGACAAGCGGCTAGAAAAGCAGTTTGAAAAGTGAAAGGGGGATAAATGTGGATAGAGTGGCTCGACACTTAAAGTGAAAGTGTGGATTGGAGAGTTTGGAAGAAGATTGTCGAGGAGAGAAAAAGGCGGTGGGAAATTTAAGAAGCTCACGAGTGGATTGCCATCTGGGATCAGCGCCTGAGAAGGCTAGAAGACTAGGAGAGGATTATAGCTGCGAAGGAGGGCAGAGCGAGCGGTAGAGAGCCAGATAGCGACGCACTGACTTTTATATGCAAGGTCCTTTCCTTTTAGCATCATTGCCTACAAAACTGATTTCTAAAGTGATCGATCTGAGGTGGACGCCCAAAGTGACTGTGGACTGACAATTGCTGGCAGAAGGAAAGAAGAAGAGGGAAGAAGAAGAAGGAAGAGACAGACGGAAGCCTGACAAAGACTGATCGCTGAGCGCTGACAGCAATTAGTCAGCACTTCCTCCCCCTGCTCCCTTGGTGCGCCCAGGAGGAAAGACAATAAGACTAAAACGCCAGCCCCAACTCAGACTTGTTTTTCTATGGAACTAATCCCACAGATACGTGCCTAGTGATTCCCTAAAATTGAAAAGACCCTTTTCCTCCTGCACTCTTTCTCTCTCTCCCTTTCTCTTTGGTCTTTCCTTTTTTTCTATAATAGTTATAAATACAAGTATAAAGGCAAACTGCTTGTTATAGTTATTAGGGTTTACTGATTAGACTCTCTTGGATATAGAAAAATTTTAAGGTCTGTTAAATAGGGTTGTCTCAGATGAATTGGAACCTTAAATATTAATATACATTATAGGACAAAGGTATATATAGAGTGAGTAATTCTAGAGTTGGTTTTTTGCTTTAAACAAGTTTGATTTGATATGGTAATGATTTATTAGGGATAAAATACAATTAACTCTGGTATATGAACTTAATATAGAGAATAATACATAATACATAATATTTGATTACATTCTATTGTATAGCATCTACTGTATAGTATTGTATAGTATCTGATAACACTCTATTGAACTGGAATTTATCTTGCCTAAATGACAGATTGGGCCGAAGAAAGAGATCTAAAATAACTTGGTGTGTAAGTTTAGCAAATAGACTTGTAATCACACTTAAAGGGTTATTACATTGAATGGTGATTTGGGATAATATTCTTAACATTGTCCAATTGCAAAAACAAATCTTATCAGAGATGACTTCCACAACAACCACGGCCCTGAAAACGGGAAGGAAGAACACCCAGACCTTGATGACAACTCTGGCAACTGCCTCCCCAACAACGCAGAAAACTATAGAAGAGACCTTGACAGGAGAAAAACAACCGACTGTCACTAATGCCAATCTACAAGTGACATTATTATCCCTGCAAGAATCAATGTCTAGAATGCAGGAGATTATGATTAGGAATCACAATGAGACCAGAGCTGATATTAGCGAACTGAAGGAAGAAATGGGTAAATTAAAAGAGGAGATGAGAGCAGATATACAGAGAGTTGAAGATAAGGTTGGGACAATGCAATTGGCCATGGAAAGAACTGAATTAAAAATAAAAGAAATAGAGAGGAGGACAGAACAAGCGGAGAGGAACTAGAAAGGACTGAGGAAGACTTTAAAAATGTTAATAAAGAAATGGAAGATTCCTTGGTCCAACTTGAGATGGACAGAGCAGCTGCATACCTAAGGTTCCAAAATGTGGAGGAATCCAAAAATGAAGAACTAGAACAATTAATGGCAGGTTTGTTGGCTGAACTAGTTGAAAAAGAGAAAGATGACTTACTCAAAGAATTCAATGAAATCTATAGGGTGAACACCAGTTATGCAAGGCGTCACAATTGCCCAAGGGAGATCCATATCCGCTTTTCAAGAAGATGCGTGAGAGACCTAATACTTAGAAAAGCCAGAGATGAGAGAATATTATATAAGGGCAAAGAGATCATAATTCTTAAGCAGATTCCAAGAAAAGTGAGGCCATAAGGCAAGAATATAAATTTTTAGCCAATTACTTAAATAAAAACGAAATCTCATTCAAATGGCTAATCCCAGAAGGGATGCTAATATCGTGGAAGGGAAGAAAAATTAAAATAGATTCAATAGAACAAGCACAAGACTTCCTAGAACAGCTAACAACCACGGAGGATCAACACACTAGAGAGGAAACCCAAAGGAATATGCAGGAAGATCGTAACCGCCATAGGAACAAAGAAGAAAGATCTGTCCAAACTCAAGGGAAAGACAACTTACAACGAGAAAGAGAAGAAACAACCCCATATCAACCACAAGATGAGAGCCGTATAGTTACGAGACAAGAAGCGAGGCAGACTTAAGTAAATGGACGAAGGAAGGAAAATTCTTTCCATCAATATAAACGGCCTAAATTCAAGAGCTAAAAGGAAAAGGATTCTAACCAAACTAATAAAACAAAATGTTGATATAATTTGCATACAAGAAACACACATTAGGGAAAGTGAGGAGAAATTCCTAGATTGTCCGAAACTGGGAAAATTATTTACAGCACCAGCAGATAAACACAAAAAGAAAGGTATTGCAATCTATGTGAGAGATGACTTAAAAGCGGAGTTAATCTGGGCGGACCCTGAAGGAAGAACTCTGGTGGTACAAATCTCAATTAATGGCATTACATTTTTACTGGTAGTAATCTATGCCCCAAATGATGATCAAGGTAAAATTTTTAAACATCTCCACCAAAAAATAATAGATTTTGAAAATGGCAATATTTTCCTGTGGCGATTTTAACTCTATTGCTGACTACCAGAAGGATCATAGTAACAGGAGTAAGAACAAAAAAGGAAAAAGAGAATTCTCTAAGCCATGTAAGGATATGATGAATGAAATGAATCTGGTAGATATCTGGAGAAAATTAAATCCCAAAAAAGAACAGTTTACTTATTATTCTAACCCACACAAAATTTGGACAAGAATAGATATGGCTTGGATAAATGGTGAATTAATTAATGAAATCAAAGATAGCGAAATCTTACCAAATGACTGGGCTGACCACAACCCAATTCAAATAACCTGGAGAGGTAGAAGAAAACCAAAGAAAAGATGGACTTTTAACACTCATTTAATAAAAGAAGAAGAATATACTAACAAACTGAAAGAAGAACTGAACTTCTTCTTAAAGGAAAATAATAATGATCTAACTTCGAAACAAAATATATGGGACACATTAAAGGCATTTGTAAGAGGAATAACAATCTCTTACAATGCTATGAGAAATAAAAGAAAGTATGCCCAACAAAGTAACCTACAACAAGAAATTAAGGATTTAGAAACCCAACTACAGAAGAACCCCAAAAACCAAAGAATACAGAACCAGTTAACTAAACACAAACTAAATTTACTGGAACAAGAAAAATTGGAGATTAGTCTGAAAATGACTAAACAAATCTACTTTGAGCATGCAAACAAGCCAGGGAGATGGTTAGCCCACAAACTTAAGAAAACGAAAGAAAAAAGATTGATACACCAATTAATGGACGAGGGGGGCAATATGCAAGAGGAGATAGAGAAGAAAAAAGAGATCACTTTTAAATACTTTGGGAAATTATACAAAAAAGAAGAAGTCTGTGAGGATAAAATAATGAAATACCTGGAGGAAGCGAATGATAAAGCAATTGGAGAGGAAGAGATAGATAGAATTATTAAACCAAAATATAACATGGTCCGAACTGAAGTCAGCAATAGAGAAGCAAAGTAACAATAAAGCACCAGGACCGGACGGGATACCGGTAGAACTTTACAAAACAATCATAGAACAAATTGGACCACTGATGCTGGGTGTATTTAATGAGGTACTCTTAGCAGCCAAGATGCCGGACTCGTGGAGGGGAGCCTTAATTTCGCTGATCCCGAAGGAGGACCTAGACCACAGACTTATTAATAATTATAGACCAGTTTCGCTCCTGAATGCAGATTACAAACTATTCTCTTCTATAATAGCCAATAGATTAAAACAGGTTTTAAACACTTATATCCATGAAGATCAAAATGGATTTCTCCCATTTCGACAAATTAAGAATAATTTAAGAACAGTGATAGACTTTTCAGAATACTATGAAGCCCATCCGGAAAAACAATTTGCATTTATGTTTTTGGATGCTGAAAAAGCATTTGACAATTTAAATTGGCATTTCTTAATTCAAAAAATATATAATATGAACCTTGGCACCAGATTCGAAAATGTCATCACTACAATTTACCACACTCAACAGGCAAATATTCTAATAAATGGGGAACAAACTGGCCCGATAAAAATAGAAAAAGGGGTAAGACAGGGTTGCCCTCTCTCCCCTCTGCTTTTCATATTCGCCCTAGAATCTCTTCTGACGTACATTAGGCAAAATTTGAGAATTAGAGGACTGAGGATCAAATCAGAAGAGTATAAAGTACAGGCTTTCGCTGATGATTTGG